GCTGATACTTTGAAACATACCTCAATCCAGAAAAGATTAAAAAAAATAAGCTCAAGGTTCTTTCAGATCTCAACAGATGATTACACAGGTTTAATAATTGCCCAGGGTTAACCAATATGTAAAAATTTTAAAAGGCAAAAAGGATGAGGCATGTTTAAAATTGCACACTCAGCCTAAAAAGTTGTGTGTCATAGGGAACTTTAAATCCAACATCTTAGGGGAAATTGTTCACAATACAATTTAAATAAGGAAAATTATTTCAGAGACAAATGCTTTTGTGGGTGGTTCTCTTTAATACATGGAAGGTCTTAAATCAGTGGTTCTTGCTTCCCTGAATATTAGTCCTTACTATGTTCTATCCTAGTTAGGCCAGAACATTTCACTGGTGGCATCAGTGAAATGTGCATATGAACACACTACATCTCATTGTTTCCAGACTTTCCCCACTCGGCATTGGAATCACTTGGGTACTGTAGTTTTGTCTTTATCAATTTAGCCTGTGGTGTATACATAAACCCAAAACCTTCTGTCAATAATATTTAGATATGTGTATGTATACCACTATAAAGTTGATTTTAGAAGAAAAGGGCTTAGAAAAATAGCAGCGAATGAGTTGGAGGGGACTCTTTGGGAAAGGATATTGATGAAAATAATGCTTAGAGGGAGAGAGAAAAGTACCAGAGGGACCAAAATATGTGAAGACAGATGGGAGCAGCCGAAAGCCTGATTTAGATTCCAGACCACAAAGCTCCCACAATCTACCTCTGAGGCCATAATAGTAAATGGTTGCATCATGGCACAGTAACTGGAAGCAGTGATGCAAAGTGACACTTCCTCATTTTAGATACCACACCAATGTTTACGATGGTCAGAGAATGAACACACGAGTTCTAAAGGAATATGAAACTACTAACATGGGCCATCCATCCATCAATGGACCTGTTTGAACTTTTTTATATGCCTATAATTGTATGTGATACAAAAGATGTCAGTATACAAACACACCTTTATTGCAAGCAAAAACAAATAGCCTTTCTCAGTCTTCAGTTTCTTCAGCAAGTATATTTCATGTCCACTATCAATCAGTACCTGGAAATTCTCCTACTTCTGCTTACTTTTAAAATTTTTTGTTTCATCTTTAGGTTTCAGCATATGTTTATGTATGGCTTTCTATATTCATCTTCCCTGGGGATCTAAGTGCATCTTGATTCTGTGGCTTGATATCTTTCATCTTTTTTCAAAAACTTTAATATGTCTTTTTCCATTTCTTCTGGGACTCCAATTACAAATCCATTGAACCTCCTCACCTTACTCTATATTTCTCTTAGTTTTTTCTTCTTCTGTTTTTTCTAAACCTTTGTCTATCTGTTCTTCAGTTTGGATACCGTATTTTCCGGTGTATAAGACAACCGGGCGTATAGGATGACCCCTTAATTTTACAGTTAAAACATAGGTTTAGGCCTATATTCGCTGTATAAGACTATCCCCCACTTCCGAGGCAACACCAGTTCTTTTTTTAATAGATCGCCTCTCTGACTCTGGCCAATCTGAGCAGGCTTTTTACTAGAACACAGTGTCATCTTATACACCGGAAAATACGGTATTTACTTCTGATCCCTCTTCTGGTTCACTAATTCTAGAATTTCCACTTTTAATTTCTTAATATTTTAAAAATCCATACATTTTATTGATTTCTTACAGAGAGGTAGGGAGAGGGAGAGAAAGTTAGAAACATTGATGAGGGATAAACATCAATCAGCTGCCTCCTGCACACCCCCTACTTGGAATGTGCCCACAACCAAGGTACATGCCCTTGACCGGAATCAAACCTGGGACCCTTGAGTCCGCAGGCCATCGCTCTATCCAAACCCGTTAGGGCAAATTCCTAATTTTTTCTAATGTCATCCATCTTGTCAATTAATTGCTTGAATATGCTGATCATGATTATTTTACTTTAAAAAAGGTTTGCATTGATTTTTTTAAAGAGAAAGGAATGGAAAGTTAGAAACATTGACGAGAAACATGACTGGCTGCCTCCAACATGGCCCTTTACTGGGGCATCAAACTGAAACCTGGACATGTGTCCTGACTGGGAATCAAATGGTAACCTCTTGGTGCCTGGGATGAGGCTCAATCCATTGAACCACAGCAGCCAGGTAATCACAATTATTTTAAAGCCTGGTAACTCCAATATCAGGATTTCCTATGGGTCTGTTTCTAATGTCACTTGCCTCTGTTGTTTTTAGTCACATGTTGCTTTGTAAGCTTGACTATTCTTTTATAGAAAACTAGAAATTGTATATGAAAACTCTAAAAGGAAGTTAGATGAGGAGCATTAGCAACCTCAGAACATCTTAATCTAATCGGGGCTTTCAAGTTATCTGGATCTGGATCTGGGCTTTAATTCCTGTGAAGATTATTTTCAGTTCACCTTACTTCTAAGAGTGACCCTTCACAGTCCCAATCAGAAGTTTGTGATCTTACCAATATTTCCCCCACCACTGGCAGCCTCTGACTCCATCCTTTGCCTCCCTGACTTCATAACCTATGACAGTGCTGCTTAGCCCTCAGATACTCCTTTCCGAATTGACAGATATCTCGAGCGACAACAAATGCCAGGCCCATCTGTCTGGGCTTTCCTTCTCTCCTGGTCTCACAATTCCTCACTGCCTTGGTAGCTGTCCAGTCCTTCAGATAATTGTGTGTGTGTGTGTGTGTGTGTGTGTGTGTGTGTGTGTGTGTCCCACTTCTCTAGGTGTTCTCAACAGACGGGTGCATTTGAAATAACTCATTCCACCACTTTTGTCCCATTTTGCCCCATGTTGCCCAGGGCAAGGTTTTTAGGCCCTCTCTATCTTCACCAACTTCTATCTATCAAAATTAGAATACAGGCTTTGGGGTTGGAGAGGTTTATGTTCAAACTGGCTTTACCTCTACAGAGCATTGGACAAATTATATAGCTTTTCTATAATTAATTTAGAAAATAAGGCTAGTAAAATCTATTTCAGGGTCACTGAGATTAAATAACATGGGTTTAGCATAATCCCTAGTCAACAGCAATAGCAGTTAGCATTTATTGAACATCATTTTCACTGCTCATTCTATTAAAATGCTTAGATAAGCCACTCTATGCTCGAATTTGATCAGTGTCTTCACTCTTTGGCGAAATAAGTATACATATTTTCACCTTCATAGATTTTTACACTGTCCTTCAATACTCCCTTTTCCTAATGTAACTCAAATACATTCATCCAGGCCTAAAATGGAGTTCAACCTTCCCCAAAGATATGCCAAAAATTCAAAATCCATACTAACATGTACTTGCTCTAATATTTCTTCAATTTAGCAATACACAATTATCCACTCTTCCCTAATTTTGTTAGTCTCTTTCCAAACTAGATTCTAAAGTGCTTACAAAAACAGCCAATAAGTCCTGTCCTCCGTAATATACGGGGGATAGCAATAAACGTGCAAGAAGTTCTCAAAGCATGCATTTGCTTCAGTATGGAGAAAAAGATCTTCATATTCCGTAATTATGGTTGGAATTAACACTCTAAATCACAGAGAATGGGGGAGGGGTGCAGAGGGACACAGGTAGAAGACAAGGAAATGCGTAAACAAGCACATCACAAACGAAGTTTTTCTGGTAAAATATTTACTTGAAATCCTTCACTATAAGCATAACTTCAACTAACCCAGTTGCATTATTTTAAAATGACAACTCAAAGTCCAAAGTTGCACTTTTACAATTCAAGTTTAGAGTTTAATGGGAACATTCTGGCTTTGAGTAGGCACTTCCTTTCACTAGGAGAACAAAACAAAACAAAACAAACAAAAAAAAAAAAAACAAGAAAAGGAAAACCCTCACTAGTTCAAGAAGTTGGCTAAAATTGATCTGGAAAAAATACTGTCTGAGGCACTAGTCATTAGAATGGTAATACCCTGCTTTACTTATATTCAGAATGAGCTGCTTATAAGGACAAAATAAACATGTAAAAGATGTACTTTTGAGTAATAGGAGCTTTGAGTGCAATTCTTTGAGAGTTTTTGAGTATTTTTTTAAAATCATAAGCACAGAAGACATACTAAATGTTTTCTTATAGCATAGTAACATTAAATGCCTCATTTTTTTAAACTTATTTCTAGAAGATTCATGCTACTCACCAGGCAACTTTTTAGTATATTTTCTGTTTATCACTTTCTTCCAATTAATACTAAAGTAATTATATTACTAAAGTCATTGTAAAGTAAAAATAGCTCACTCTAGAAATCATCCCATCTCTGACAATTTTTGCCTCCGTTCCCCACCCCACACACTGGTATTTTATTGACAAAAACCGTGCTTTGCTATTTGTGACAGAATTATGCCTTTTACTGATTATATATTTAGAAAGAAATTTTTCTTTTTGCAAGTGACATAATCATTCAGTGCTCGATTGTCATGTTGACATGATGCTAAAATATACTCATGGTCATTTACATTTAATAAGACGTGATATCTAATGGTGGTATACTTGAGATTTTTGAGTTTTTGAACTCCTACTGAAATAGACTAGTTTGTAGCAAAGTGAGCTAAAGTTTTGATTTTCATAACCTCAGAGGAATTTATTGAAATTCCTCTAGGTGGAAAGACCCAAGTACGAAAATGCTTTGTAGAGATAGAACTATGAACACTTGTAATTTTGATGTTTTAAGGGAGAAGGAGGAGTGGAGATCTCTTTTAGGTGTCAGAAACAGCAGGGATTATAAAACAGTTCTGGCAACATCAACCCATTTGTATCATACAAATAAATCAGAAAATGGGAAAGAGTTAATTCAAGATGTGAATCAATAGCTAAAAATGGTGTATATGTATCACAATAATTTTCTTAGAGGACTCTTCTGCCATTCCATCCAATTATAGGAACCATGACCACATGCTTTTTTAGCCAGATAGTTTAGTGACAACATTTGCAAGTGGAGAAAGGCCTTGCGTTTGACATCCATGCACAACAGCTTACCTACAGCATTGTAGAGCGGCTCTCCAGTTATTTTGTCCCAGACTACAGTGGTTTCCCTCTGGTTACTGACACCAATAGCTTTAAAGAGAAAGTTAAACAAAAGGGAACAGAAATTAAACAGGAAGAAAACGATTTCAGGATTGTTTTTTTTTTAAACAGGTTAAACAGGCACGACTAAACACAATTCAAAAAATATCTGGAACAACAACAAAAATATCTGGAACATTTATAATGGTATTGAATTTCTTTTCTTTAAGTGGCCTCAGGAAAAGTGAACACCCAATGTCAAGTGTTTCTTTTTATTGCTACAGACTCCTTCCTGCTTCATTCCCAGCACAAGATGACATGAACCCAGATCAATATTCAGATGAAATGCTTCCAGGTTGCCTTAAAAAGGGGAATGCAGTAACATTCCAAATGTACAATACCCAATTTATTATTCTAAGGAAACCAACAGTCACCTCATTCATTTATTTACTAACTGATACAAGAAATTTCCTTGTGTGTGTGTGTGTGTGTGTGTGTGTGTGTGTGTGTACACACATCTTCATTTTAAGAAAATAGCCACAGATAAGATCCCCCATGCTGGGCAAATGCACATTATGGTTACTTGAAATTCAATCTTATTTGTCTTTTAATAATTATATTTAATAATATAATATGGAATAATATAATATAATATAATATAATATGAGTTTTATTTAGCATAAAGACAATATGTGATGGCATTTACATTATACTGTCCTACAGTTACAACTCAAGTGCTATAATTACAGTAAGTTACTATAAAATACAAATCTATACCTTTTTTTTCAATTCAGCTAAATCAGAGGTTCTCAGTTTTGATTGTACATTGGAATCAGCTGCAGAGCTTTTAAGAAGTACCAATACTCAGACCCTGACCCAAACGTCCGGATTTAACTGATCTAGGGGGGAATCTGAGCATTAATATTTTTTCTTAATATTCCCCAGGTGATTCTACTGTACAACCCAGATTGAACTCACTGGGCTAAATATATATAGTGCTCTTCCAGAATTTAAGATCAGGACAGACCTTAAAGGCTATTTCTAGAATCATCTATCATGTGACCATTCAGACAAGATACTACCTCTTCTCCAAGCAGACAATGTCTATTGCATAGCTTTGCTATTAAAAAAAATATCAAATCCTCTTGTTTGTAGCTTCCATCTTTAGGTCTTAGCTATATTTTTTGGAGATACACAGAGTTAGGTTAATCTTTCTTCTATGTCACTCTTTCATACTTGAAGCAGCTACTTTGTACCTCAAGTCTTCTCTTCCCCTGTCTAATCTACATAATCCAATTTCCTTATACTGCCCCAACTCTATATGGAATATTCCTCTTCTTCTAGGAGCATACAATGATCTGTATTACTCAAATTGTACATCCAGAATAAAACACAATAGGAACATTCTGAGCAACACGGAGCTGAGGTGGGGATGACAAAGCAGCTCCCTTGTTCTAAATAATCTTTATCCACGCATTTATTTACTTTATTGAACACCTTTTCTTTTTTTAAATATATTTTTATTGATTTTTTACAGAGAGGAAGAGAGAGTTAGAAACATCGATGAGAGAGAAACATTGATCAGCTGCCTCTTTCACACTCCCTACTGGGGATGTGCCTGCAACCAAGGTACATGCCCTTGATTGGAATCGAGCCTGGGACCCTTCAGTCCACAGGCCGATGCTCTATCCACTGAGCCAAACCGGTTTCGGCTGAATACCTTTTCTAAAGGGACAAAGATGAATGAGATTCTACTCTAAGGAAGAGATTTGGTTGTTTTTTGTTTTGTTTTGTTTTTTTAATAGAAGGCACAAATGTTTATAGGACTTAAGAGCAAGGAGAATGGGTAGCAAGGTTGGGCATCATGGGACATGGTTCTGATCCTCTTAGTGACAAGAGAGGATGAGATTAATACACAGATGGAGGGAGGAGCCTCAAGTAGGGCAGAAGACTATGGTTATTTGCTCAAAAATGGGATCTAGAAAAAGCTGAATCACAAGTTTGGGACACTATTCAGTAGAGATTAGGCTCTGAAGCCAGACTACTGGGGTTGAAAGTCTAATTCCTCTGCTTCCCAGCAGCGTGACCGTGGGTCTGTTTCATTTTCTGTAAAATGAACACAATAGTTCCCACCTTAAGGGTTTGCATGTTAAAACAGTGCCTGGCACATAGTAAGCACTCAATGTTACTTACTGCTACTATTCATTGTCATCATTATTGAGGAGAGTGGATTAAGAGAATGGGGACTAGCCAAAGCAGAAATGAATTCCCGATAGTACTATGAGCACAACAGAGACTAGAGACCTCAGTGGGACCTCGACCACCGGCTGCTAAAGTGTAATACTGTGGCCAGAACCGGTTTGGCTCAGTGGTTAGAGCGTTGGCCTGCAAACTGAGGGGTCCTGAGTTCGATTCTGGGCAAGGGCATGTATCTTGGTTGTGGGCACATCCCCAGTAGGGGGTGTGCAGGAGGAGACTGATGGATGTTTCTCTCTCATAGATGTTTCTAACTCTCTATCCCTCTCCCTTCCTCTATGTGAAAAATCAATAAAATATATTTAAAAATATGTAAAGTGTAGTACTGTGAATGTGACAACTTCACAATGGTGGCTAGGAATGAATTCACGGTCTACTAAAATCTCCCACTGCTCCCCACTACAGACTGGCACTGGCTGCTCCCTTAGCCACAATCTATGAGTCACTATTCTATGTCCCTCATATCTCTCCCTTCCTCTCTGAAATAAAAATGTATTTAAAAAAAATAAAATTAAAACAGAAGATTTGTAAGGTTATCAGTGTGGCTTAGGAAAAAGAGCACCAGACCATAAGACAGGGAGCTGTGCTTTAATGTCATCTACCACTACGCAGCCACATGACCTGCAATAAGTCGCATTCATTGGCTCATTCTAACTTGATTCAGAATGTAATCTGGAGCTATTTCCATTTGATTCGTTGGTTATAGGTTCCTCCCTGACCACTCCTTTTCCCTCTATCTTAATTCCTTTGTGCCAAGTAAAATAGTTTTTCTTACAAAGTCCAGAGAAACAGCTTCCCTACAAAGTCCAGTGAAATAGCTTCTCATACCCAGCCAGTGTGGCTCAGTGGTTGAGAGTCGACCTGTGAACCAAGAGGTCATGGCTCGATTCTGGTCAGGGCACATACCCAGGTTGTGGGCTCAACCCCCAGTAGGGGGGCAGGTGGGAAACAGCTGATCAATGACTTTCTCTCATCATTGATGTTTCTCTCTCTCCCTTCCTCTCTGAAATAAAAATATATTTAAAAAAAATAAAATTAAAACGGAAGGTTTGTGAGGTTATCAGTGTGGCTTAGGAAAAAGAGCATCGGACCATAAGACAGGGAGCTGTGCTTTAATGTCATCTACCACTACGCAGCCACATGACCTGCAATAAGTCGCTTTCCCTCATTTGTAGCTAGAGGTCTTGGTAACCAAAGATCCTTTATAACATTAGCATTCTGTGATGTATTGTTCTATATAGGCAAGCAAAAGCTTTGTCCTTGGCAGAGCCAATTAATAAATTATCTGGCGGGGGGAGGGGGAGGGGCGTTGAGCACAACTGGCTTGGTATGGAGGGGCCTGTGGGACATTCCCTTCTGTGACTATAGGCTGGTAGTGCCGAGAAGAAAGTGCTGGGTCACTTTGGCTCAGCTATGGGTTTCACCCTGGCCAGACAGGAGTGTAGAGCAAATAGCATGTTCAGTGTTCTTCCAGATCAGTTGCTGCAAGTGAAAAACAAGTCACTTGGCCTGGAGTTGCATGTCATCTTCACATACACCACAAATAAGAGAAAAGGGAATGGTATCTCAGTGGGTACAGAAGGCCAGTAAGCTCTAGCGGGTTTGGCTCAGTGGATAGTGTTGGCCTGCAGACTGAAAGGTCCCAGGTATGATTCCAGTCAAGGATATGGACCTAGGTTGCAGGCTTGATCGCTGGCCCTGGTCAGGGTGCATGAAGAAAGCAACCAATTAATGTGTTTCTCTCACATGGATGTTTTTCTCTCTGTCTGTCTTCCTCCCTTGCACTCTCTCTAAAATTTAATGGGAAAATATCCTCTCAAGTGAGGATTAACAAAATAAATAATAATAAAAGCAAAAAACAGAGGGCCACTAAGTTGCCTACCTTACCTTTAAAGGAGGTAGAATGGTGTCAAAACCATGGCTAACCGCCCTGGAATCTATATCCAGTGCATGGCCAACTATGTGATTTTGAATGTTTTGACATCACAGTGTGCTGCTGGATGCCTCTTATATGTTCACCCTGTTTTGACTGTGAAAGCTGAGAACAATTCAAGGAAGCAACCAACAATCATTTCAATGCACAACTCATCTGAAACTTGATGAATGCAACTCTAAAAAGTCGGAAACACTGCCATTTAGAGGGATAAAATATTTTTATTTTTATTTATTTATTTATTTATTAAATATATTTTATTGATTTTGTACAGAGAGGAAGGGAGAGAGATAGAGAGCTAGAAACATCTCTGAGAGTCATTGATCAGCCACCTCTTGCACACCCCCTACTGGGGATATGCCCGCAACCAAGGTACATGCCCTTGACCGGAATCGAACCCGGGACCTTTCAGTCCCCAAGCCGACGCTCTATCCATTGAGCCAAACCGGTCTCGGCGGGATAAAATATTTTTAAAATGTCACCAGTCATGGCTCAGTGGTTGAGCATCGACCTATGAATCAGGAGGTCCTAGTTAGGACATATGCCCAGGTTGCGGGCTCGATCCCCAGTGAGGCATGCACGAGGCAGCCCATCAATGATTCTCTCCCTTCACTGATGTGTCTATTTCTCTGTTCCTCTCCCTTCCTTTCTGTAAATATTAAACTATATTTTAACAAAATAGAAAATCTACACAAGTGTGTTGGTTTCTCTTTAAAAAGTCTACATTAACAGAAATAACTATCTTATTGTTACAATTTTCCATTAATTTGTAATTATTGATTATTGGACTCATGTTGCCTTCACTTGACTGTTAGCTGCACAACACTCTTTGTGTCCCATTGTTTCCCTAGCATACCCAGCACATAGTAGGCGCTCTATAGGTTTGCTGAATAAATGGTTTGATTATGTTTGTCTTTTTTAGTGAGTTTTTAAAATATAACAATAGGGGAAAGTCTGAAAAAAAATCAGTTTCATCTCAAGAATACTGGTAAATCTCAGTGCCAAGAAAGATGTGAATCTCAAGACACTGCCATCACCAATGGATGATTTCACCCACCTTGAGTTGATGAAGAAAAAACAGCCCTTGAATGAACTTGAAAAGTTTAAATTACAAAGATATGGTGATTACCACATTATGTTCTGCCCTTTATACTACTTTATCAATTTTGGATGACTGAGCTATTTTTGTTATCACTGTATAAATGATGCAAATCCAAACTTAGATAGTTTTTATATTAAAACTACTAGGAATTAAGAGATCTGAAATAGTCTAACACTCTCAAACCAATATTTTTAGGGAGATTTAACAAGCAAAGTATTTTTATTTCTAACAACGCCCCCTCCCTCTATTGCTCCTCATTCTAATCTTTCTCCTCAAGAAAAGGCATTCCTATCTATTAGGAGCTCTGGCAAAAATCCAAGCATATTTTTAATGGATTTTTTTTCAATATATTTTATTAATTTTTTTTTTACAGAGAAGAAAGAAGATAGTTAGAAACATGGATGAGAGAAACATGAATCAGCTGCCTCCTGCACTCCCCCCCACTGGGGATGTGGCCACAACCAAGACACATGTCCTTGACCGGAATCAAACCTTGGACCCTTCAGTCCGCAGGCTGATGCTCTATCCACTGAGCCAAACCAGCTTCAGCCCAAGCATCATTTTTGACCCATCTTCTCCCATCCTCTCTTTACTACTCTGACAGCTAATCCATCAAGAAGTTCTAGCCCTTTCTCCCCGCCCTCACTGCCATCTTCCTTTTTCTCAAAACTTCCACAGCAACCTCTACTGTGGTCTTCCTGTATCCAACTTAGGCCTTTACCATCCACTCTCCACATGGCTTCACACAGCAGTCAGGAAGTTGTCTTTAAACCAAAAATCAGACCCTGTCATCCCTTGAAACCTTTTCATGGCTCTCTGTGATACTAAGAATAACATCCAAGCCCTAGCTGGTTTGGTTCAGTGGATAGTGTCGACCTATAGACTGAAGGGTCATGGGAATTTGATTCAGGTCAAGGGCACCTTCCTTGGTTGCAGGCTAGATCCTGGCCTCTCCATCAGGGCGCATATAAGAGGCAACCAATTGATATGTCCCTCTCACATACATCAATGTTTTCCTCTTTCTATCTATTGTCCTCCCTTCCACTTTCTCTAACAATCAATGGAAAAATAGCCTCTTATGAGGAAAGGGTAACATCCAAACTCCTAAGTGGTACTACAATGCCCTAGCTACTTCCCTGGTTTCAACTACCATTGAAACCTCTTACCTTTGTACCCACCCTCACCCCTCACCCATCTTTCATTCTATTTTTGACATGCTGGCTTTCTTTCTGATCCAGAAATGTGCCACAAGCTTATTCCTACCTCAGGATCTTTGCATGTGCTGCTTCCTTTTCCTCAACTACTCTTTCTCCAAATATTGGCATGGCTGGCCCCATTTGGCTTTTGAGACCTCAGTAACAGTATCATCTCCTCAAAGAGGCATTCTTTGGCCATCCAATCTAAAGTAAGCCTCTCTAGGCACACCCTACCATAGAACTCAGTTTCATTTTCTGCATGGAACCTATCAATATTGAAATTAGCTTGTATTTGTCTGCTCTTATTGTTGATGTCAAAACGTGTCTTTCCCCCAACCCCCCCCCCCAAAAAAAAAATAAAAGCTTCATGAGAACAGGGACCTGCTTGGCACTGGATAGATACTCAATTATGCACCAAGTAAATGAATGAATGAATAGATTTTATTGAGATAATCATACCATGGAGAGAAATATTCTATTAAAAAATACCTTTTATGTTGGAAATGTCAATATTGAGTTGTTCAAGTTTCTCACATGTTTTCTCTATACACTCATAGACAGACATCAGAATTTCCTTAGGATCTTGTTCCACCCATCTTTGAACAAAAGAATGCATTTGGTTAGTCCACAAGAAAGCAAAACATTTATATCTCTAGAAATGTTCACTTAAGAGAGTGTGGCTGTTGTATAAATTAAAATCAGATGAGCAAAGCAAAGCATATTCAATAATCTAAAGAAACAATTTAAAGAAAGGCCTATTTTACGTCCCTTATGTTTTTATTAGTCTTCATATAGTAATCAATCATTTGAAAGGAAGCAAGTAATAACAGGTCACAAAATTCCAAATATTCTATCTATTTTAAAATTATTTTTTCAAATCCAGTAAGAAATTAGTTCCCCAATTCTTTATATCCCATGGGTTTGATACATTGAAAAAATTATCTGCATGTTTCACTAGTCACTATTCCTTTCTTTCTTTAGTTACTTCTAAGTAGATTGATATCTACCTCTCAAAAGAAATTCTGAAAAGTCAAATACGTATACTAATCTATTTTGCCATTTTTTCCCCTCGAAATGTTTTGTTAGTATTTAGGGGAAATTGTAAATGTGTCCTAATAACTATTTCAAGTAGACAAGCAATTGTCCAAGTTTTCAGACCCAATCCCAGTGCAATTTTGGTAAGGAACCAGGGCCTCAGAAGGCTGAAAGGCTCATAATAAATGAAGCATGCCCTAGCTGGTTTGGCTCAGGGGATAGAGCGTTGGCCTGCGGACTGAAGGTTCCATCAGAGGCATGTGTCTGGGTTGCAGGTTCAATACCCAGTGGAGGACGTGCAGGAGGCAGCCAATCAATGATTCTCTCTTATCATTGATTTTTTTTCTATCTCTCTCTCCCTCTTCTTCTCTGAAATCATTAACAATATATTTTTTTAAAATAAAAATAAATGATGAGGCAGAGAAACCTGGGAGAAACAAATGGCGACTGAGGAAACCCCCAAAACAGAAATGACACAAGCTACAAGAATCCTACCCTAGGATCAGCAAGTAGCAAGAGTTCCAAATGTCTTTCTTCTCTGCCTTCCTCAGGCCGTCCTAGCTTTCCTGAGCTTCGAGTTCTTGTCTCTAAACTCCTTTTCCAGAAACCCAATCTCTCAACATGTTTCTAATTTTCATCCCTCCAAGACACATGTATCCTCTCTCCAAATTATACTGGGATCAGGCCTGCTGAGAGTCACTCTATTGCAGCTAACCTATCAACAGCTTTTATTACTAAACAAAGGAATTCTTTAAAACAGAAAAAAGTCATAGAAAGAAATTATAAAATATGGTAGGACACCAATCTTTTCTCTTTCTTAAATTGAAGAAAATGTTATAGTGAAATGAACAGATCTAAAGTGCACAATTTGTTGAGTTTTAACAAATGTATATAACTCATCTAACGAAAACCCCAGTCAAAATATGGGACGTTTCCATCATTCTAGAAATTCTTTCATGGCTCTCTTATGTCAATCACATACTCCATGGGCAACACAGTTTTAGATTTGTCATTCTAAATTAGTTTAGCCTCTTGACTTTTTAATATAGCCATGCTGTATGCATTCTTTCATGTACAGCCTTTTCCACTTTCCATGATATCAACAAGATTTATCTATGCTGTAGCATGTATCAGTTCACTGCTTAAAAAGTGCTGAACAGCCGAAACCGGTTTGGCTCAGTGGTAGAGCGTCGATCTGCGGACTGAAAGGTCCCGGGTTCGATTCCGGTCAAGGGCATGTACATTGGTTGCAGGCACATCCCCAGTAGGAGGTGTGCAAGAGGCAGCTGGTGGATGTTTCTCTCTCATTGACGTTTCTAGCTCTCTATCCCTCTCTCCTCCTCTCTGTAAAAAATCAATAAAATATATATATATTTTTAAAAAGTGCATTGTCACCTATTCTACTGATGACAGACACTTGGGTTGCTTTTGGGTTATTATGAATAAAGCTGCTATAAGCATTCATATATAAGTCTTTCTTTAGACATATGCTTTCAATGCTCTTGGATTAAATCCTCCTAAGGTTGCAATGCTACAGAAGTATGGTTAATTTTATAAGAAACTGCCACACAATTTTTCAAAGTGGCTGTATCATACATATCATAACATTCTAAACTAGCCATTTTCAACCTTTTTCATGTCATGGCACACATAAACTAATAACTAAAATTCCACAGCACGCCAAAAAATATTTTTGCCAATCTGACAAAAAAAATTAGGTATGATTTTGATTCATTTACACAGGACAGCTATTACTGTGTTGGCTGCTGTCATTTTTTTAAATTTGACAATCTAAGGGAAAAGAGGTCAGTGCCATTAACTAGTCAGGTATTTCATGTTTTAAAAATTCTTGTAGCCGAAACCGGTTTGGCTCAATGGATAGAGCGTCGGCTTGGGGACTGAAGGGTCCCCGGTTCCATTCTGGTCAAGGGCATGTACCTTGGTTGCGGGCATATCCCCAGTAGGGGGTGTACAAGAGGCAGCTGATCGATGACTCTCTCTCATCCATGTTTCTATCTCTCTCTCTCTCTCCCTTCCTCTCTGTACAAAATCAATAAAATAAAATAAAAAGAAATAAAAGAAATAAATATTTTAAAAAAATTCTTGTAGCACACAGGTTGAAAATGGCCGTTTAAAATAATATACTCAACATTCTATTTAATCACAATTACTACATATGAACATTACTATAAAAAAGGACAATTTTGGTATGATATGTGAGTGCTTTTTAGAAAAACATATCTATTTACGAAAAACACACACTGTAAAGAGAAAACAGTAGTTGGGCAATGATGCAGACCCAGAATTAAGATGACTTCAAAGTTAATGTAGGATTTCTAATATTTAATACATTGTTGCTTTATTACTTTTATCATCCACTTCTTTTCTGTTGCTTAATTCCTAAATCATCAAATACCCAGATATTTTGCTGAGCTATCCCATTTTTGTTCATTTTCCTGACTAATAGCTATCCCATCCCTCAAGTCTTCTTAGAAAGGTGTTTGGTCAAGTTTCTTTAAAAAGCCCCTGGGCAGGTGGGATGAGATGGCCTAAGAAATGCGATATATGTTTACATAGTAAATTAGGAAACGTACCCTTCTCTTGGAAACTCTTGTTTTATTTCCACTTGATGATGACTAAGTAGTTCGGCTGTTTTTGAATTGAAAACCTGAAAAATATATTGCAATACTGAGTTCAAAACGCAGGAAAAGAGCAAAGGTGTTTCAAGTTATTCAGCAACCGAAGTTCTTATATTTACTAATAGAAAAAGCCCCAGATGAAATGCCATATGATGTCCTACTTTCTCTCCAGCTAGAAACATAAAAGTTGTAAGGTAGCTTCAGAAATAACTTCCCTTTATATAAATAAAAACCTATGGAAGATAAAGCTAAAGAGGCAATTACTAATTTTTAAAAAAACAAAAATGGCTCCAGATGTAGGAGCTGACCAATTAATTAATAGTAAAGATTTTTTTTAGAATAATAAAACCAAGAATAAAAGAGCTGGCAAAACGCTGATAGTGATGTTGTGAATGGTCCATTTAGTGTCCACCTTGGATGTGGAGACAGAAAGAAGAGTCACAGATGCCTGAGCAGGAAGCGTACTGTGGGAATTTCTTTGAAGGGAAGTGCAGCAAATACATCTAGCTCTAATAATAGACAAATAGAAGTGTATCCTGGCAACCAGCTGAGGGCTCTCTGTGACATACTTGTCACGAATTGCTGACCCTTGATATAAAACAGCAAAACCCAAGGGATGAAAGCTAACAAAAAAAGGCTTTACAATGTTCCACAAATATAATACTACCGAAACACTTAAAAAAAAAAAAAAAAAAACTTAGCAAACTTTTTTCATCTACTGTTGGCCCATGAATAATGCCCCTCCTCCATGTATAAGTACATGGGAAATCCATGTATAAGTACACCCACATAGTTGGATTCCCAACCACAGAGTGGACCATTGAACAACGCAGGTTTGAACACCGCAGGTTCATTGAACTTCTGCCACTTTAAAATAAATCCGTGTTCCCCCCTCTGAAAATCAATAAATGCGCTGTGTTGTTGTGTTGTCTGTGGTGGATGTTGACTATCCCTCCATCAGAGTGACAGCCTCTACCCGGCACCCAGCTTTTGGATCTAAAAAATAATAATTAATAAATAAATAGATAGATAGATAGATAGATAGATAGATAGATAGATAAAATAAATCCATGTTGTTCAGGAGTCAATTGTATATTGTTTTCACCTATTCTCGAGTACCAAAAAGTACTTAGTCTTTCAGAGTAAGGATTCATAGTTTCATTCAAGTGAACTTCCCAAATCACTATAATTGCAGCAGTGGAGTCATATCCAATTAGGCAAGATTGTATTTCTATGCCTAGGTTTCCTATGGGAGAAAATGACCTGCTCAGTGAAAACTAAGAAACAGAAAAACATAAGAGAAAATACACAGCGAATTGCTGCTCCACTCCCTTTCCACCAAACATACACCTCCTTTTTGGGAGGAAGTAATAAACATCTTCTGAAAGCAAGAAGGCAAATTTTCAAGCCCTTTGAGGGGATAAACTATCTTACAAGTCAAAGATTAACTTAACAAACACATCATAAGTAAAAGGCACTTGGCAGAAGGCAGTATAATTCACAACTTAGCATTAGAGTATCTTTAGGATATCTGCTCCTTTTGTCCTATTTTATTTGCATCTCAAGGGCCTAGAATAGTGCCTGACAGAGCATTATTTTTTTTTCCTGACAGTTTAAGAAAAAAATATATATTATTATTATTATTATTATTATTATTATTATTATTATTATTTCAGGGAGGGAGAGGGAGAGAGAGAGAAACATCAATGAGAGAGAATCATTCATAGGCTGCCTCCTGCCGGCCCCCACTGGTGACCGAACCCGCAACCCAGGCTTGTGCCCTTGACCGGAATCAAACCTGGGACACTTCGGATTTATAGCAGACCTAAATAGAGCTATGAATGAAGTGCAACCCTTCTTTCATCACCTAGTTTTAACTAGTCTGGCTTCAGGACCCTCATACTAAAAATAGATTTATAGGCCTTTGAAATAGGCAGAGACTTGGGTCAATTCTATTTGCTACATGGAGCATGACGCCATCTGATCACACAGCATTTGGATATGACAAGAAAGAGCCTGGACCTTCCTACTTCTCTAGAACACTGAATCTGAACAGAAAGTGGACATTGTTAGGTCTAATCAAGTACCAAATGAATTGGGACCCCTCCCACAGGAACTGACTTCTCAGATCACTTCACTATGGACATTCCCTTCCCTTTGCTGAGACCACATTTCATTTACTGTGACTACATTCCATGATCTCCCCTCCGGATGTGCATGAAGAAGTCTCTGCCCAGAAAAAGCCCGCCAAAATTCCTTTAAAAGCAGCTGGCCAATTGGGGGCTGGTGTGCGGATGATTGAATAAATTCGCAATCCCTCACCATTCTGGCCTCGTGCGTTTCCCCTTTGCAGATCTAACTGACATCACCTTTAGCTGTGTTTCCCAAACTTTTGACATATGTGTACCCCTTCTATAATTTTCGTAATGCTGAGTACCCCTCGTACTCATGAGAACGTAGAATTAGGAGCAGCTAAGCACGGTGCAGTGCATATCCCCACCAAACTCTTCCTGTACCCCTGGGGGTATGCGTACCACACTTTGGGAAACACTGCATGAGAACTTGACAACACTTTTGAGATTTAATGTTTTTAGACCTGGTGACTTTCTCAGTGCAATGCCATCCGATAGCAATACAATGCAAGCAAATGTTCTCATTAAAATAAATACATAAGTAAATAAATAACAGTAAAAAGAGCCCTAGCTGGTAAGGCTCAGTTGTCCCTGGTTCCATTTCCGGTCAGGGCACAAACCCAGGTTGTGAGTTCTATCTCCAGTAGGGGCGCTTGTGGGAGGTACCCAATCAATGTTTTCCCTCTCATCAATGTTTCTCTCCCTTTCCCTTCCTCTCCCTCTAAAACCAATTAAAAACTTTTTTAGCCGAAACCGGCTTGGCTCGGTGGATAGAACGTCAGCCTGCGGAATGAAGGGTCCCAGGTTAGATTCCGATCAAGGGCATGTACCTTGGTTGAGGGCACATCCCCAGTAGGGGATGTGCAGGAGGCAGCTGATTGATGTTTCTGTCTCATCGATGTTTCTAACTCTTTCTCTCTCTCTCCCTTCCTCTCAGTAAAAAATCAACAAAATATATATTTAAAATAATAATAATAATAATAATAATAATTTAAAACTTAAAGGGAAACCTTTAAGTTGATCTCAAGGAACCTCCCACCCCCCTTAAAGAGGATTCCAAACCTCCCAGGAACAAGGGACCTTTGATTGACAGGCAAAAGTTTCTAAAAGACAAATGACTTGAAAAAACAAAACAGCTCTAAGGATCCTAAAGGAAACTTTTAGCATATGAACTGGCACTTTAAAACTTCTCCCTGTCTCTCCTACCGGAAACCTGACAACATATTTGAGAGGACTTAATAACTTTGAATCAGAAACTTGGCAAAATTGGGAGCGAAAGATTCAGAGCCTAATAAAATTTTTAGAAAGCCTCCTTCGCCAAGGTAAAATAAATTATGCATCCGGAGGGAAAGAAGCAAACGTGGAATGACGTACTTGGGCCAGCAGGTCAACCTATAATGTCACATGACTTACAAACAAATTCTTGGGGGAATAGAGAACAGTTGTCCATATCTTACAAATCTTTGTGAAACCAGAAATGCAACTCAAGAGACAGTTCATGACCCACCTATTTTTACCATCCGCAAGTCCTAAGACTGAAAAGAAAAAAGCAAATGACGGTTATTTATGAGTTTTTAAAAATATATATTTTATTGATTTTTCACAGAGACGAAGAGAGAGGGATAGAGAGTCAGAAACATTGATGAGAGAGAATCATCAATCAGCTGCCTCCTGCACACCCCCTACTGGGGATGTGCCTGTAACCAAGGCACATGCCCTTGACCAGAATCGAACCTGGGACCTTTCAGTCCGCAGGCTGAGGCTCTATCCACTGAGCCAAACCAGTTTCGGCTATGAGTTTGTTTTTTAAAGCCCAAACTGCTATGCTGGGCTCCAACGCTCCTTGCCAAGAACAAATACAAATTTTAGTCGTTCTCCACAAATGTTAAGAAAGAAATCCAAACAAATAAACTTATTCCAACTGTTGGGGCAGAAATGTGAATCATAATCTGTTAACCGTGATAGTTATAAGAAATATTAACCATGCTCTGTTAACCGGGATTGTTCTGTTCTGATTAGAGAAAGCACATTCTAACCTGGCAGAGGAACCCCAGGACAGGAAGTTAACCTCGGAATGAAGTCCATTCACATCCTAGAACTGCCTATTATCATAGAAAGATTAACAGCCTTGTCATTGCCCTTTGCAACCCCCCTCCCCCAGCTCACATTGTCAGCAACCTGTAACCATTACATCCATTCTTATTCCTTCTGCCTATTTCCCCAAGTAACCTTTGTCCTTCTACCCCACAAAAGCAGCTGGCTCATGGTGGGGGGCAGAGCAGATTTTCGTGGATGACCTGCTGCTCTCCCACACTGCTGCAGTTACTGGCATAAATGCTCCTATACGATTCAACCGTGTCTCTGCTTAATTGGCTCAAGTAGTGACTGGCAGCCCGACTCTTGCTTGTCTGTTCGCACAACTGCTATCAAGGGTGTTTTTTTTTTTTTTTTGCCTTATTTTACCTGTCTCATGGCTAAACTTTCATTTACGGCTAAAATTTAAAAAAAAAATCCTATGGCCCTGGCCAGTTTGGCTCAGTGGATGGAGCGTCAGCCTGCAGACTGAAGGGTCCCAGGTTCGATTCCGAACAGGGGCATGTATCTTGGTTTCGGGCACATCCCTAGTGAGGGTGGGAGGCAGCTGATCGATGTTTCTCACTCTCTATCCTCTCCCTTCCTCTCTGTAGAAAATCAATAAAATATATATTTTAAAAAAAACTATCAGGTCTCTGATAACATCTAGTATTAGTTTATGTATGCCTACCTCTGAGAAAATATTGCTAGAATTGGTTTATAAAGAGTTGTTTAATTGGTTTAAAGGAATCAAATGCTTACATAAAAATTCTCAAAAATAGAAAACTAATCCAAATGCTATTTCAGAATCATGTGATATGAGA